AATGGAAATTAAAAATTATTGGAAGAGGTCTCATATAATGGTGAGGTCCCCTTGTATGAAATGCATGTTTAGGGTTATAAGGGTTAATTTGGTCAACTATGGTTGACATGGTCAACCAAGCTTGACCAAGACTTGTGTTTGCGTAAAACCCACTCCAAAGGAGATTTGGAGTTTGTTGGAGAAGGTTTCAAGGTTTGGTTTAATCGAGCCAAGTTGAAGTTTATGAACAATTTAATTTAAGAGTATTATGGTTTATTGGTTCTCTTGGTCAATCATGGTCCACCAAGGGTTCAATGAGGTTCAAATCTGTATGACAATGATTATGAACCTATTCAAGAATTTTGGAAAAGTTTCCAAGATGATTTACATAAGATGCAAGGTCTAGTGGCATAAATTATAAATATTTAAAAGTTTTGTAGCCTTGGAGAATGCTTTGGGTTTTAGGGTTTAGAGAGCTATGAATGTCTCCAAAACGACATAGAAGACTCTAGGGACATGCCTAATAAAAATGCAACTGATCAAACATGATTCCAGGGTCATTTGATAAGATTTTGAGTCAATGGAAAATTCCCCTGAAATAAAGAATAGTCCAAAGGATTTTGAACTTTGGATTTTAGATTTAGGATTTGATTTAGATTTTAAATTTGAGATTTTATTGCGATTGAAGTTTTAAATTTATAAATGATTAGAGAGTTGATGATTTTGGAATGCTCAAATCATTGAACAATTATTTAGGTGTTTGTTAGTGATTGATTAGGGAATCAAATGATAATCACATGGTGATTATCAAATGAAGGATTTGAAGTTTGATGATTGGATTACTATGGCACAACATAGTGGAATACAATTTAGAGTTTTGACATCTATTAAATTTTGAAACTAGTTTGATTATAGTTATTTTATTTTTAATGCAATGATATATATGCTTATTTACTCAAGTTGTGTGGTTTTGAGGAGATATGATGTGCGGTGGAAGTTCTAATTAAAGTTATTGTGCTAAATGCATAGGGAGTAATAAAGGCTTGAAATTTTGAATATTTTATATGCGTTAAACATTAGATTCACGGGGGTCTATTTTCTGATATGCTAGCACAGGGAGTCATAAGGGCCTATTTTTTATGGGAGATAAAAGGGCCTAAGGGAAATATGTTATTCTTCTATTTTGATATATTGAGTATTTTTTATTTACTTTTAGTGCATATTCTGCCTTATTTAGTTACGGTTTACTTTATTTCAGTTATATGCAATTACTCATATGCTTAGTATGATAATTTTTTATGAATTGAATTTATATTCAATTCAATACATAATAAGTAAAATATTTAAAAATCTAGATTAGTGGGTGTGACATACTAAAGCTATGTTGGAACACACCTATTGTACTTTCTATTTTAAGTCAGTGAAAGGGGAAAGAGCTCGTTGAGTAGCTAATTATTCAAGATCTTTTTTAAGTATGTACAAGTATTTCTTATTTTTGTACAGTCATGACAAATTGTTTATTGATTTTGTTTTGGTATGTAACAATGTAATGTAGTGTAAATGTTGTGTACATTTTAATATAGAAATTTTATGGATGAGTTCATTTTTTTATTACTAGAATTTCATTAAAAACTCTATTGTATATTTTCAATTTTAGATTAGAAGAATCTAAAAAGAATTCCCCGAAACTTACATCTTGTGCTGGTCTATCATAATTCAACACTGTGTGATCTGTCTATATGTGTGTCATATCAGGTTGAGTTGTAATAGTTTATGATGATATATTTTATTTCAAGAAATAGGATGGAGTCTCTTGGTATTTAAATCACCATGGTACAAAAGTACGAGGAGCATATTTTATCAGTGAATTTACAATAATTTTTATGTAAAATAGAATATCTTATCTAATATGTTAGTGTATTCCAAATGATAAACTGCAAAAATCATGTTTTACCAGTAAATGATAGTAGCTTTGCCTTCCAACCATCAAGAAGACAAGAAATTCTATGCATAAGGGGTTGAAAGTTGGATAGAGTAAGTTTCTTTGGGGAAACAAATAAGCAAAGGTATTAAAAAAAATGATCATCAGCCATATTGATGCTTAGGATATTACAAATAGTTGATGTTGAGCTACTGTTCTTAGAGAAGAGGATAACACTCTTAGTATAATTAATATTCAGTCCAGTGAAAAAGCTAAAGAGAGATATAATGTGCTAAAGAGAAGTGGCATTTTGAGTGGTTTCTTTACCAAAAACTAGTAAGTTGTTAGCATAGAGGAGATGGGTATAGTTATTTCCCCTAGTAGTAATGCCAACAAATGAATGCTATAAAATAGAAGCTTCAAAATGTTAGATAATACATCCATAATAATATTGAAAAGATAGGAGGAAAGGGGATGCCCCTGCCTCAAGACTAAAGTAGAGCCAAAGAAACCATCCAATACTCTATTAATACACACTGAAAAAATACACATCATCAATGCAACCCTTGATCCATGAAAAAAGGCAATGGGAAGCCTTTTTTGCTCAAAACATTTTTGTATAAGATAAGATGGCCAAGACGAGTAGGTACAAGTTAAGAGAGAAGTAATTTTCATCAAGGTGACATTCAATAAGGGATCAAGAGGATTATTTTGAATTTGTTGTAGGCAAAAGTTTTATTGGGCATGAAGATCTACAATGGAATTAGAGATATAGGAAGAGGATGCTCATTTGTTTTTTCTTTAAGGTGTTCTTTAATCTCTAGACCTTATGTTTAAAAAGTGGATAAGAAATAACCACCCATATTAATAGTAAAAATCAAAATAAGCTCATCCCAAAAACCTTCCATATTAGTCAAGTAATTTTTAAACAAAAATCTATGATTCTTATTGGCCGAAGGAGTGCTAATAAGCATCAAGGGGAATGATCAAAGCCTCTTGGGATATCAATTTTATAAAAGGAGAAGGGAAGGTCTCCAACCAGTAGTCACTCACCATGACTCTATCTAGCTTGATATGTATGGGATTATCCACTCTTTAGTTATGCAAAATAATGACCAACAATGGAAATGTCATGAGCAATAATATTGAAAAATGAGATCATTAAAGTCCCAAAGCTTGCTATTATAAGTAACATTCCCACCAAAATTTTCATGACTAAGACTTCGTTTGGGACGGCTTTTTTATTGCTTTCTAAAACTGAGTTTTAGTACAAAAATAAAAAAAATTGTACTAAAACTCCGTTTTAGAAAGCAGTAAAAAAGCCGTCCCAAACGAAGCCTAAATCTATGGCAATTGAAATATCTAATTATTTACCTAAGGCATAAAAATATTCCTAGCAATGTTCATGATTTTCTACCAGAGAAGGCATCTCTCCTCATGAGAGTTATAGGCATAAACCATGGTGAGCTCATAGGATATCTTATAACCCATATGAAAAGCACCATGAATAAGCAGGCTAGAAGTGAAAGATGTAATGAAAGAGACTTAGATGAATTGCATTTTAGCCATATTCAACTTGAAGAGGAATGAGCAAAATTATCAAAATTTCCTTCATTTACAAACAAAATTATGAGAGGAAGAGAACCAAGGGTCGGTAGCAGACGAATAGTGGATCTTAGCTTCCAAAATACATAAAATATCCAGACTATGATTATTTACAAGGTTCTTACATATTAATACTATATTAAAGATGATAAATCATCTAACATTTTAGGTTGCAAAGATGGGAAGCATCATTGGGATTTTAAAATACACCTGGTTGCCTTCTTGGCATTTTTGTTTCTGGTGGGTTTGGGGGGTTATAAAAAGTTGTTGGGATATGGCATCCTTAGGTTTGGTTGTCGGCTCATCAGAGACATTAATGAGCTATAAGTCTGCTTATTGTAAGGCTAGGAACTTGTCATGGGTGAGGAGGAGTTTGGGGTCATCCTGGTGAATTATTGTGGGAGGATTAGAGGTTATTATTTGATCTTTAGTAGGAAAATTGATATTGGGTATGAGATATTTATCTAGTGTAGAAGAGGAGGAACAGAAGAACGTGTGCGGCCGGAGATGAAGGCTAAAAAAGGTGGCCTTGAGCAAAGTGTTAGGGGGAGTGCCTGCAAAGGATGGAGTAGAAGAGATTAGGGGTGGTTTCGAAGTAGAAGGATTCATAGGAGGACTGTGTGGTTTTCAACTAGTGCTTTGACCTTTGACCAGATGTTTGCTAGATTTTGAGTTGGAGGTTTGAAGTGGCTGAGGTTGGATGGGTGAATAAGAGATCCACAACCCTAACAAGATAAGGACTTCCAATCAAACTAAAATTTCAAAAGCAAGTTTTCACTAGTCACACAAAATAGTGATCTCATAAGGGAGGAAAGACTGGCTAGTAACTTGCACAGAAACCCTTGAAAATATAAGGCAAGTTGTCTTAGTGGTTAAGGAATCAACAACAAGAGGGCTACCTATGAAACTAACGATTTTGAATATACCCTATGGATTCCAACAGGAAAGGAGAAGGTTGTGAATTTTTATCTAGATGAGAATGGAAGAAAAGTTATCTCATTTACTCTTGAACCTTAGAGAACATTTTCGAACAATAAATGGCTTCGCTAGGACAAACCAGGCCCCCATCCAAGACATTTCATAATCCTTTGACGAGGAGAACTTGAGAAGGAAAAAATCTTCACTCAATGAATGGAGATTAATCATACCTTTGAGTGACTAGGCCTTTTTGAGGGTAGATAAGAGGGCCTCATATTGCAGTATTCGACTAAATGAGTAGCCTACGGGAGATAATTCCCATTCCTTAGAGCCCTTAAAGATTTCTTCCTTAGAGAACTAGATGAAATTGTCTTGAGGTGGGATAAAGGTCACGGGAAAGTTTTTTGGATGGTGTAACTTTTTTTGTTTTGTTTTTGTTGAAAGGGTCTATGGTATGGATTAGTTTAAGCCATTTAAGTAATCTAGAACTTAAATAGGCTAAATAGCCCTATAAAATCTGATTATTTTTTTAAATAATTTATCTAATTTTAAATTAAATTAGCGAAGTGTATAGGACAACAGGCTAGCTTTTGCATTTCTTAGCCAAACCTAATAATTTCTGCGAGCGAAGGGTGCGAAAGTGGAAGGACACCGAGGTTTTATTTTTGCAGGATACAACGTCTGCAGCTCCATCCCACCGGAGATCGTGACTGCCGTTCCATCGGTTCGAACGCTGGGTTCTTCCATCAAAAAAGCCTTCCATGTCAATTGCTTGGCTCACTGATACCATCGCAGCCCTTCACTATTCCATCTTCGAAGATCGCGATTGCAGCTCCATCTCGTTGGAGTTCGAAACCATAGCTCCATTTCGTTGAGGATCTTGATTAAAGCTTCATATTGCCGAACCCCGTTGTCTTCCAGTGCGAAACCCTCCAGGTGAAGCTCGGTAAAGTGAATTCATGACAGCCCTTTTCCATGTTCTGTAATAGAAAACCTCTTATAATTCCTGCAACTCGCCTTTTACGGATTACCGTTCTTGTTCTTCGTGGGCAGAGAAGTAGAGGAAGGAGAAAAGGGGAAGGTAATATTGTCACTTTTTGTTGCCATGTTGTATTCTGATTCTATATTCAATCAAACAAGAGGAACAATCTCACTGGATTTATATTGCATCTAAAGAAGCAGCTCAAATTAAGGCGCTGTTTAGTTGAAAATTGGATTGAACATATATGTTTTACTAAATCCTATTTTAGTAGGATTTAACACAATTTTAGTAAATCCTGATGGTGGAACAATTTGTTTGTGCAACTCTTAGGGGCTGTTTGGTTTTGGATTCGATTTAACTTTAATGGGATTTAGTAAATCATGTAAATCCGGATTTAGTAAATCCTGAGGGTATTAAATCCTGAAAACTGTTTGGTATGACATATGTTAAATCCTGATAAATCTTGAGAAACTGTTTGGCTATGTAATTCATGATTTAATGTGGTTGGTTCATTTAGAAATTGAATTTAATGTGCTTTGAATTTTATTTGCATTTTAACTATGAGTTATTGATGAATAATATACTTAGATGCTAGTTTAATTATTCAATAAATTAATTAATAATTTAATTACTAATTATAATATTAATTATCCAATTACTTTTTTAGGTATTATTTTAATAAATATCTCAATACTAATTATAAGGATCATTATTTAATTATTATTTGAAATAACCAATCATTTAATTTCTTTTTTGCACCACTAACTACTTCATTAATTTAATTTTTTAAATAATTTTTAAAACTAATTATAGTTATAGTTATCTAATTAATTAATTAATTAATTATTCTATTACTAATAAAGTATTTAATTAATATTTATATTGCTAATGACCTAATTAATTATTTCTATCTTAAATCATATTAATTAAAAAAATATAATTATAGTCTAATTAAAATCTTAATAATTAATCTTCTAGGTGGGTAGGCTTTCCTTCTTCTTGCTTCTTCGTTGCTTTTCACCTGAGGTATAACTCCCCTCTTCAGGTTCGTTTGTTCGCGTTAGGTGCAACTTCGAACGATTTGCTTGCCATTGCTTATCTAGGGTTTGCTTTTCTTGTTCTTACATTTCTTAGTTATTGTTATGCTTCGCATGAAGTTGAGTTCTACAAGTATCGAAGCTTCTCCGCCTCCTATGAAGATGTTGTTCCTGTCGGATCGGAATTCTCCTTGACAGGAATTCATCATGAAGGTAACCATATTTCTCCCCTTTCACGTGCTTCTTCTGCGAAATACGTAAATCCGCCGAACGTCAGGATTTACTAAATCCCAGATTTACGCCTTAGATCCGTAAGACTAGGATTTATGAGGGATTCAGATTTACTGTGCGCTCAAAAATTGTTTCGCAGGATTTAACGTAAATCAGGCATAAATCCTGCTACAAATTCGATACCGAATAGCCCCTTAAGTTAAATCAAAATTTTGGACTATTTAATTGGAAATTGGAAGATTTGAACATTTAAAGAATTTTAGTAATCATGCTAAATTAAATATCTTAATTCCTTGTTCTAGCAAAATTTGATAAATATTGACTTTGAACTAAATTTTATAAAGTACTTTTAATTTCAAAATTTGTTTCAGATGGGATTTAGAAGCCCCTTATTAATCATTTGATAGGATTTAACATAACTTTCTACAACAATAACAACAACAACATCAAGCCTTTATCATACTACGTATGGTCAGCTAAATGAATCCTTTTTCTTCATTGGGTCTTATTAAAAGTTAAATTATCGTTTAAATCTAATAAACAAAGGTCATTTCTAATATTTTCAAACTTGGTCTTTTTTGGTCTACATCCACCTTTCTTAACATAAGGCAAATCTAATACATCTACTATCCCAACCGGGTCATCGGAAGGCCGTCCGTTTCATGTGACCAAACCATGAAAGGCGACTCTCTCTAATCTTATCTTCCATTGGAGTTAACTCCAACCTTTTCATGCATATGATCATTTCTGTATCCTGTCTCTAAGAGTAAAGCCACTCATCCACCTTAACATCCTCATCTCTACAACACTTTACTTAATATTATGCTTCTCTTTTAATGGCCAACATTCTGTGCCCTAAGGCATTGCAAGTCTCACCATCATCTTATAGTTTTTTCCCTTAAGTTTGAGGGGGAGTTTTTTATCACACAACAAGCCCGATGCATTCCTCCACATCAACCATCCATCTTGATTTCTATTAATATTATTCTCATCTATTTCGCCATCACTCAGAACAATAGACCCATGATATCTAAAACGTGTACTCTTATTAATGACATGCACTCTATCAATTGAGCTAAGGTCTGGGTTGTATTTAACATAATTTTTTATTAAATATAAATTAAAATGGAATAAAATACCCTTAAATGCAATGCATATTCATTGCAATAAAAATACATGTATTTTACATATATATTGCCAAACTTCCCCTGAGAGTAAAGCATTTGAGGGTTAAATGTTGCAGTACTACTCTAGATCAACATGATGAAGGGTAAAAATGTGAAGTTAAAATAGGGGAAAATGCTTACCCCTGTAGTTTAATGATAGGAAATACTTGAGTTCGCAAGTAACCCTAAGGGTAATACTTGAGTTCACAAGCAAACCTATCACCAATTGGTGAAAAAACAACGAGAATAATGCGAAATATGGGAGAAAACAACCCAAAACAATATATTGCGGTAGGAAAATCAAAGCCATAGAATAAGGAAAACAAGATACAAGAGATCCTCAATTTGAGAGGAGGATTGTCTCTCCCAAATCTCTAGACAAGAGAGTCTAGAGTCCAAGTCGCCAAGAAACCCTAATTGAGAACAAATCAAAACATATACTTCTCTAAACATCTCATGTTTTTAATACAAACACTTTCCTAATCTAATCTCCCTCCCAAGACCTAGCCACCCCCTCCTTTTGTATTTGAAATCCATTAGGCTAGTTGGGGCCCACTATGTGGGCGGGCAAGAGTAAGGGAGGCGGGCATGTTCTGCCTCCTATAAACCTAAGCCAGCCCTTGAGCCGGCTGGGCCGGTTTAGGGTGAACCAGCCTAACAATACCTCCCTCCCAAAAATTAATGAGCTAGCAAGCTCAAGGGAAGTCAAAACCAATTTTTTTTGGGTTTGATTTGACCCCCCTTTGCCTACATCACTCGGTCAGATCCAAATGCAGCTTCTTCTCCATCTCCTCCTCACCTCCCTCAGTTTCCTCGTTGTCACAGACGGTGAGAACATGAAGAGTTCGGTCCTTATACCGATGCCCTGACGCGTACTTCTCATCGCACCTGAAGCACAACCCCTTAACCCTCTTCTCATACATCTCTTTCTCTATCATCCGCTTAAAATTTCCTCCACTCCCTCTTCCTACTGTCTTCTCCCTGGTGGCCTCCCAACTTCCTCCTATTGCTGGACCTTTTGGTGCTAGATGGGTGGTCATCATCCTGTAAGTGCTCCATGTGTTGTTACTCATTGCTCCCCTCTCCAAATTTCTCTGATTTTCAACTAAATGTGCCAACTTCATGGCCTCCCCCAAGTTACGAGGCATCAAAACCTTCACCGATGCTCGGATCTCTGCCTTCAACCCCTTCATGAAGTTCCCCTCCAATACAATATCTGATAATCGCTCTACCTTATTGGCCATGTGCTCAAACCGTTCCGGTAGTCTGCTACTGATCCCTCTGTGTCAGAGAAAAGAACTGCTCATAGAAATCTCCCTCTTCCTACTGTCTTCCCCCAGTTCTTGATAGGTCTCTTCTGGTCTCTCCACTGGTACCATGACAGAGCATTCCCTTCCAAGCACAAGCCTGCCGCTGTCAACTTCTCCTCCTCCGTCAGCCTATTGATGGCGAAGTACCTCTCCATATTATAAATTCACCCATAAGCATCCTCCCCTTCAAATATGGGCATCTTCAGCTTCCTCACCTTCTGCTCTCCACCATTCCCCCTTATTCTTCCATAGCCTCCCATCTCCCAAGTGCTCGGCCCTCCCCACGTCTCCCTATCTTGCCTTGCCCTGCCATAGCCTAAACCCCCTTCGAATTTCCCCCTTCTTTCTTTAAAATCAGCACCTCGGCGGCCATAGTATCCCTCCTGGCGTTCCTCATATCCACCTCTTCTCTTTCTTCCCTCTTGACCGGCTCCAAATGAGGTATTTTTCTTTCTCCTTCCATGATTTTCACCTTATCTTCCTCCCTACGGATTTCAGAATTCATGCTTTTTCCTTCCACCCCTTTTGCCATAGAAGCCGCCATTTGGTTGTGGATTTCCAACATTTTCTTCATCATGTCCCGGAGATCGGCTACTTGTCATTCCATGGAGGAAATCCTTTCCTCAACCGTTGTCTTGATTTGATTCATCTCCCCTTCAAGCCTTTCTTCAAGCGCATCTACTTTCTTGGTCGCCATCTCGATCCGAATTTTTGTAGATCCAAAAATTCTGGATTTTGATTACAAAAACAACAACTTTTTCCTTTTCCCATAAAAAATCAGCCGCCAGGATTCGCCCAAAATTAGCCCACGAACGGTCCCAAGACTTGCTCTGATACCAATTTGATAGTATATACTTGAGTTCGCAAGTAATCCTAAGGGTAATACTTGAGTTCGCAAGCAAACCTATCATCAATTGGCGAAAAAAACAGCGAGAATAATGCGAAATCTGGGTGAAAACAGCCCAAAACAATATATTGGGGTAGGAAATCAAAGCCACACAATAAGGAAAACATAATACAAGAGATCCTCAATTCGAGAGGAGGATCATCTCTCTCAAATCTCTAGACAAGGGAGTCTAGAGCCCAAGTCGCCAAGAAACCCTATTTGAGAACAAATCAAAACATAATCCTTCCCTAAACATCTCAGGCTCTTAATACAAACACTTTCGTAATCTAATCTCCCTCCCAAGACCTAACCGCCCCCTCCTTTTGAATTTGAAATCCATTATGCTAGTTGGGGCCCACCATGTGAGCGGGCAAGAGCAGGGGAGGCAGACATGTTCCGCCTCCTATAAACTTGAGCCGGCGCTTGAGCTGGCTGGGCCAGTTCAGGGTGAACCGGCATAACATTTAACTTTTTTCAGGACATAATGGGATGACTTTCATGTGTATAGCTCTTTTCATCTGCATTGTTTAGGGTCGAATTTTTAAGAATTCACCTCAACTCTATTGCTTTGCTGGAGTGTCAATTGGGTAGGTGTGAACAAGGAAGATGGGATCATCTACATTGCTGAAATGGGCATCAAAGCCATGCATCATGGGCATCGACGAAGCTGGAAGAGGCCCTGTTCTAGGTTTCCTCTTGCCCCCTCTGTATAAGGACTCCTTTCTTATTTTACTATTAATATTTCCTAGCTGCTCATGGGGCATTAGGTTGATTATGACTTGGATTTACATGATCTTCTATGCTGCAGGTCCAATGGTTTATGGATGTTTGTATTGCCCACTCTCTTACCAGAATACTTTGGTGACCCTCAAATTCGCAGGTTTTTAATTTTTAATTTTTGATCTATGAATCTGATTTGGCATGCTTTTTTACTTTCTTATCTATCTGAATGCTTTTTACAGTGTTTATCATGCCCTGGCCATAAATATCAAAGTTATCTTTCAGCTTTATTAGCAGTCTCTCTATTACTAGTGCGAAGCTAGATGAAATTTCTTTTCTTTCCTTATTTTATTAGCAGAAGGAATTACAGGTTCTATTAGATCCAATCATAGGCTGTCTTTGAATGTTGGGGATAGCCAGTCGTGTTTGGATTGTTAGCATCAAAATCAGTAAGATAAATCTGTAGAAACTTGAAGGGCCTCACAGCTTGCATTATTGTAGCATAGTCATGTCTGTATTTCTCCACAAGCCTAAGGCTTCATATTAAACTTTAGGTTATGTCCATTATATTGTAAATAATTTCAAGTCTGTATGACAGTCAGAGAAAATTAAATATGTTGCAGCTTTCTGTTAGTCTTAAAGTTCAAGCCATCAATACTGTATCGAAAATGGGATGAGACCCAACAAAACCATCTTATAGTGCACTTAGATTGTTGAATATGACTTATATATTCCAAGTAGACACAACATACAACATACAACATCAAGCCTTTATCCCACCAAGTGGGGTTGGCTATATGAATTTTTTCATCCATTGTGTCTTGTCAAGAGTCAAATTCTCATTTAAATTTAATAAATATGATCATTTCTAATATTTTATAGTCAAGTTTTTTTAGATCTACCTCTACCTTTCGTATCATAGGCCAAATCCAATACATCTACTCCTATCCGAGTCACCGGAAGGCCGACATTTTATGTGTCCAAACCATCCAAGGAGACTCTCTCTAATCTTATCTGTCACTGGAACTACTCCAACCTTTTCACGTATCTAAGAGTGAAGCCACTCATCCAACTGAGCATCCTCATCTTTGCGACACTAGGCTTAATTTTATGCTTCTCATTTATTGGCCAACATTATACACCATAAAGCATTGCAGGTCTTACCACCATATTATACAATTGTCTAAGTTTGAGGGGTACTTTTCTATCACACAATAGGCTCGATGCATTCCTCCACTTCAACCATCCAACTTGAATTCTACTAATAATTTTCCATTTATTACACCATCACTTTGAACAATAGACCCAAGATTTCTAAAACATGTAGTCTTATTAATGATTTAATTGCCCAAAGTCACAACTCCTCACTAGCTCTATCACTACTAAATTTTACTCCATGTATTCGATTTTAGATTTACTTAAACGAAAATCTTTGGACTCTTAAGGTTGACCTCTATAATTCAAGTTTCCCTTCAACTCCCTCTCTAGGCTTATCAACAAGAATAATATCATCAGCAAAAAACATACACTAGATTACATCCTCTTGTAAATGTCTAGTAAGGCATCCATGACTAAAATAAAAAGATATGTGCTTAAAGCTGATCCTTGATGTAATATAGCTGAAATAGGAAAATACTTGGTCAAACAACTTGTTTGAACACAAGTAACAACTCTTGCATACATATCCTTAATGACTTGAATATATGCATTATTAACTCCTTTCTTTTCTAGAACTCTCCAAAGCACTTCTCTTGAAATTTTATTATATGCTTTCTCTAAATCAATACATATCAAATGTAGATCCTCATTATTCTCTATACTTCTCCATCAAACCTCTCAATAAATGTATAGTTTCTATAGCATACCTACTTGGCATAAATCCAAATTGATTTTGAGAAACCTTAGTATCATGTCATAACCTATGCTCAATAATTCTCTCCCATAATTTTAATGTATGGCACATTAATTTAATTTATCTATAATTTGCACACTCTGGTGCATCCTTTATTCTTAAAAATAGGAATCAAGACACTCCTCATCCGACATCTTTTTACTATTCAAAATAATATTGAAAAATTTTATAAGCGAAGAAATTTCTTCTATCTCCTAAGCATTTTCACACCTCTATTGAAATATCATCAGGTCTAACAACTTTTATGTTGAAAAGTTATGTAAGCCAAGTAGGTGATAACATGAAATAAAAGTGCTAAATTTCATAATTGTCTAAAAAGTTGTATAATACTTGTTTTTAAAGTCATTAGTACAATGAGTTTATTTGAAATGAAGTAAAGAAAATAAATTTGGGTTAAATGGAGGCTTATCAAGGCTAGTAAATATGGTTTTGTGACTATTTGCATTTAAACAATCAACATAGGGTTTATTTGGTATCTTGAAGTTAGAAATCACATTTAAAAATAGTAAATTTTATACATCTACCATTTGGTTGTATGCACTTAATCAACATTGATGTTAAGTTCTATAGACCCAGTCTTAAATGAAATGTTTTTTGTTTTATACACAAGATAAGTGAAAACTAAAGTTATCCTTTTTAAAAATGTTTTTCTGTTTATAAGAAACCAAATGAGCCATTTCCTTATATCGTTGTTGTTTACAATTGAACAAATCATAGTGCACTTTTGATTCATCCGTTTCTTAGAAATTGTTGGATGTTGTGAGGGAAGGTAAACAATTATTGATGCTCGTATATAATGCAGAATTGGAGTCAAGTTTTATTCTTTTTGACACTGAATACAACTTAAAGATCTTGCTCAAATAATCATATTTTTAACTTAGTTCTCTATTTTTTGTTGTGCCATACATTATATTCATATAACTATTATTTACATTTTACTAGTTTTTATCAAATGTCTCAGGTTTTCACCTTATTGATCATCACATTATTGTCTCATTATTAGTCTTATAATAGCTATTTGTAATGTTGAACATGAAGCTGAATTTGAAGTCCCTATCACCAAATAAAGATCAAAAGATCATGATCAAATCAAGGGTTAGGATAGCATCTTCATGCACGCATAAATAAAGAACCTTCACGTGGAGTTGAAAAAATTGTAATAAAATTTAAAGAGGATTTCAAAATTCTAGCAAAAAAAATTTAAATTATTATCCTTTAATTTCTAAAATCATATGAAAAAGCACCTTTATATTGTTATGTAGTAGAATGAATAAGGGAAGTCTATAGCGGCCAAAGCAAGTCAAGGCATTCAAAATTGAGCTTGCTTAAAAATAGGAGGAAGTTGGGGTGGTTTCAACCTCCTCCCTCCGTTAGTGTGGTTGGTCCTCTTGCCTTTCTTCTTCTTTTTTTTTTCCTTAGAATTTTGAATTAGGGAATTTGATGTATTGAATAAATATTGATTTGAAGGAATGAAATGGATCTTTGGTTGTTTTGAAAAAAAAAAAAATGAGAATTGAATTCATCTTGGCTTGGTGCGTGGTAGCTGGCGTAGGCAGTCCCTGGTGGGAGGGCTGAGTATCATTTATTTTACTTGTTTTTTTACTCTTTTAATTCTAATTTATCTTCCATATTCTCCACTATATTTCTAACATCATCCCAAGCCATTTCTCCAAGCTCCCAAGTCCCAACCATAAAAAAATTCAAACTCATTAATAAAGGCTCCCAGTCAAATTAAGGATCCTAATGACCTTGTATTGGCTTTACTACTTCTAACATCTTTTAAAGCCATCTGAACTTCACCAATTGATCTCCACAATTGATCTCCACACACCCAACTAACATTCCCAAGTTATTACAGCCTTTATATTCCCCCTACCTCCACTAATTCCATAAAGCCAAACTACACTAATCGGCCAAGTTTTTTAGACCTGGTCTTGAAGCTCTTGCACTAAAAGGTCATTAAAACTATTAGAAGACATACATCTACTCCGGCATATATCTACACACATATACCCAACCACATATGCCCAACCATTCCAATTGAAACTAACAACCTAATCCCTTATCCATGCTTCAACCCTAGTTTTCAAATCCTAAATTGAGAGCCTCAGTTTTTGTCTTCACCATTGATTGGCCAATAATATCTTTAGTCCACTGCCTCAAATAATATTTCATTAACCCACCAAGATTGTTCGCTTTATTATTAGTATCTCAGTAGGACAATTGGAAGCTTTGGTTCATCATTTTCCTTAAGCTACATCAATTCGATGTCAAATTCATGGACTCTCCTTCACCATCTATTCCTAATTGCTACATGCAGTGTTAATGCTAGTGGTTGGTGGGAGTGGGAGGGCTGAGTATTATTTATTTTACTTGCTGTTTTCTCTTTTGCTTCTTCTAATTTATCTTCCGCATTCTCCCTTACATTTCTAACATCATCCTAAGCCATTTCCCCAATCTCCCAACCATAAAAAATTCAAACCTATCATTAGAGGCTCTCAGCTAGAATAAGGATCCTAGTGACGTAGTCTTGGCATTACTAGTTCATCACCCTTTAAACCCATTCGAACTTCATCAACTACTCCAAAACTGATTTCCACACACCCACCTAGCATTTCTAAATCATTACGGCATTTACATACCCCCAAGCCTCTTTCAATGATTATATAAAGCCAAATTAGATCAATTGACTATGTAAAATTTTTTTAGACATGGTCTTGAAGCTCTTCTTACACTAAAAGGCCCTTAGAATTATCAAATCACAACCATCTACTCTGGCATATATCTACACACATGTCCCCAGCCATTCCAAGCTAAACTAAGTTCTAATCCCCTATCCATGCTTCAATCCTAATTTCATATCCTAAATGAAAGGCCTCAGTGTTTGTCATCACCATTGATTGACCAATAATATCTTTAGTCCACTTGACAATTCAATTCAAGTGACTATAATAAGTTGGGTATATCACTTTCGAAATGAATAAGACTATAGAGTATCACTATTAGTGAAATAGATAAAGGCTTTATGTAAAAAACTGCTTCTATTTTCAATTAGGTAACTGTCTTTCTAATTTTTTATCTAAATCCATTAATAATAGATTCATTCGCACCCCCCCCCCCCCACACACACACACATACACACATGCTTTGTCTTTTGTGTATGATTTTAGTCTTTATATTTTTATCAAACATTTTCATTTCTTCAGCACTCAGCTCTGTTATAAGTGAAATCTTTGTGTTTCAACATC